ATGACCCCTAGGTCCTTTTCTGCAGAACTGCTGCCTAGCCATTTGGTCCTAGTCTGTAGCAGTGCATGGGATTCTTCCATCCTAAGTGCAGGACTCTGCACTTGTCCTTGTTGAACCTCATCAGATTTCTTTTGGCCCAATCCTCTAATTTGTCTAGGTCCCTCTGTATCCTATCCCTACCCTCCAGCGTATTTACCACTCCTCACAGTTTAGTGTCATCTGCAAACTTGCTGAGAGTGCAGTCCACGACATCCTCCAGATAATTAATGAAGATATTGAACAAAACCAGCCCCAGGACCGACCCTTGGGATACTCCTCTTGATACCGACTGCCAACTAGACATGGAGCCATTGATTACTACTCGTTGAGCTTGACGATCTAGCCAGCTTTCTATCCACCTTATAGTCCATTTATCCAGACCATATTTCTTTAACTTGCTGGCAAGAATACTGTGGGAGACCGTATCAAAAGCTTTGCTAGTCAAAGAATAACACGTCCACTGCTTTCCCCTCATCCACAGAGCCAGTTATCTCATCATAGAAGGCCATTAGGTTAGTCAGACATGACTTGCCCTTGGTGAATCCATGCTGACTGTTCCTGATCACTTTCCTCTCTTCTAAGTGCTTCAGAATTGATTCCTTGAGGACCTGCTCCATAATTTTTCCAGGGACTGAGGTGAGGTTGACTGGTCTATAGTTCCCCGGATCCTCCTTCTTCCCCTTTTTAAAGATGGGCACTACATTAGCCTTTTTACAGTCATCCGGGACCTCCCCCGATCTCCATGAGTTTTCAAAGATAATGGCCAATGGCTCTGCAATCACATCCACCAACTCCTTTAGCACCCTTGGATGCAGCGCATCCAGCCCCATGGATTTGTGCTCGTCCAGCTTTTCTGAACCACTAGTCCTAAACCACTTCTTTCTCCACAGAGGGCTGGTCACCTCCTCCCCATGCTGTGTTGCCCAGTGCAGTAATCTGGGAGATGACCTTGTTCGTGAAGACAGAAAAAAAAGCATTGAGTACATTAGCTTTTTCCACATTCTCTGTCACTAGGTAGGCTCCCTCATTCAGTAAGAAGCCCACACTTTCCTTGACTTTCTTCTTGTTGCTAACGTACCTGAAGAAACCCTTTTTGTTATTCTTAACATCTCTTGCTAGCTGCAACTCCAAGTGTGATTTGGCCTTCCTGATTTCATTCCTGCATGCCTGAGCAATATTTTTATACTCCTCCCTGGTCATTTGTCCAATCTTCCACTTCTTGTAAGCTTCTTTTTTGTATTTAAGATCAGCAAGGATTTCACTGTTAAGCCAAGCTGGTTGCCTGCCATATTCTTTCTACACATCGGGATGGTTTGTTCCTGCAACCTCAATAAGAATTCTTTAAAATACAGACAGCTTTGCTGGACTCCTTTCCCCCTCATGTTATTCTCCCAGGGGATCCTGCCCATCGGTTCCCTGAGGGAGTCAAAGTCTGCTTTTCTGAAGTCCAGGGTCTGTATTCTGCTGCTCTCCTTTCTTCCTTGTATCAGGATCCTGAACTCGACCATCTCATAGTCACTGCCTCCCAGGTTCTCATCCACTTTTGCTTCCCCTACTAATTCTTCCCTGTTTGTGAGCAGCAGGTCAAGAAGAGCTCTGCCCCAGTTGGTTCCTCCAACATTTGCACCAGGAAATTGTCCCCTACACTTTCCAAAAACTTCATGGATTGTCTGTGCACCGCTGTATTGCTCTCCCAGCAGATATCAGGGTGATTGAAGTCCCCCATGAGAATCAGGGTCTGTGATCTAGTTAGTTGCCTGAAGAAAGCCTCATCCACCTCATCCCGCTGGTCTGGTGGTCTATAGCAGACTCCCATCACGACATCACCCTTGTTGCTCACACTTCTCAACTTTATCCAGAGACTCTCAGGTTTTTCAGCAGTTTCATACTTGAGCTCTGAGCAGTCATACTCCTCTCTTACATACAACGCAACTCCCCCACCTTTTCTGCCCTGCCTGTCCTTCCTGAACAGTTTATATCCATCCATGACCGTACTCCAGTCATGTGAGTTATCCCACCAAGTCTCTGTTATTCCAATCACATCATAATTCCTTGACTGTGCCAGGACTTCCAGTTCTCCCTGCTTGTTTCCCAGGCTTCTTGCATTTGTGTATAGGCACTTAAGATAACTCGCCCTTCCCCTCAGGTGGAGGGGGACTTGAACTGGGGGGCCTCCCACATGCCAGGTGAGTATGCTAACCCTGGCGCTAAAAGCTATGCAGGAGGGCTTCCCCCAACCTTCCCTCTTTTATGCTAGTTCACGGATGGGGCTCAATCCAGCAGGTGAGCTTTGAGTACACTAACCAGGTAGGTCCCCCCCCAGGGAGGTTAGGTGGAGGAACGGCTATTGTCCCTCAGTTCATGCATTACACTGGGGTTTAGGCATTCAGGTGCCTGGTGTGCAGCTGCAGGGTGCTTGCTAAGGCAGAAACACAGGCACCTAGGGAAACTTTACTGCAAAGATGTAGGTGCTGAGTGAGTTTAGGCACCTATCAGGTTCAGGAGCAGCTGAGCGGGGGCTTTGTGAAGCCCAGTGGGGCCTGATTCTGGGATTTAGGTGCCTACACTGGCAGTTAGATGCCTAAGTCCCTTTGTGAATCCAGCCTCAAGTGAGGTTTTCAGAAGCGGAGCTGGGCACCAAGGCAATTTTGAAAGTCCCGCTAAGCACCTGTCTCCACCTTTAGGTGCCTGAATACCTTTGAAAATCTGGCCCTTAGACACTTTTGTGTCCCCCCCCCAAAAAAACCCATCCACCATCCCCTATGCCCAGAGCACTGGGCATGGGCCGGGCAGCCGGACCATGGACACCGCCATTGGATGCCGGGGGGCCAGACCCCGGAACACTGCCAGGCAGGGCCAGGCAGCAGTCGGACACACACTCACCCCACATGGGGACATGCAGCCAGGATCTGAGTGCCACGGGGCATGGACAGGCAGCCAGGACCCAATAAGGGGGGCCAGGAACAGAGCCCCATCTAAAAGCTGGGGGTGCTGTAGCACCCTGGCAAACCCCTAGTTCCCTGTGCCCCCCACCCCCTCATTGCCCAGAGCTCCCGCCCACAAACCTACCCACAGACCCACTCTCCTGCCCCCTGTGGCACTCACCAGCCCCCTGCTGGCGGAAGCGCTGGTCAGGCTGCAAGACTCTGTCTCCCCTTCAGCCAGCCCTGCCCCCTACCAGACCAGAGAGGTACATTTTTGAATTTTTTTAGCATACAGCTGGGCTGCAGCTGTGTGCTAATTGGGCCACATGCAGTCCACAGGTTGAGAACCGCTACCCTAGGAGCTTACATCACTTTTGAAAATGGGACTTAAGCACCTAAGTTTAATTTGGTGTAGGCAGGAGAGAATCAGTACAATATGGACTGCCTACACCAAGAAACTCAGTTGTGTATATAAATTAATCCTATATCCGTCAGGCCCTGCTGCTTTGCCTGAGTAGAACTTCTGGATTGCACCAGGAGTTTCTTCCTGGGTAATATTCTTTCCCTGGCTCTGGGACATTTGAGGTTTTCATTTGGGGACAGTTAGATTGGGTAAGAATTTTGTGCATCACATCAGGATTTTGATTCCCATTTAGGGCATAGAGCTCTAGGGAGCAATATGACAATACTTTGTTGATATGCACTTGGTTGACAGCTCTGCTCTGTATTTTATTTTTCATTGCTGCAATAGAGATTTAGAGTCAGATTGGAAGAACGGCTCTTCCTTATAACAAATGGGAAAGGTCTCTACTGGCCTTATAGAGAAAATAGAGAAAACTCAAGGGTGAGAAATGTTTTGCAATGCTCTGGAACCTGACTGTAGAATATTATTGTCTTTAAGTAATGTTTCTAATCTGTTTTGTTGTTGTAGGTTTTATTTGTGAGTTGGCCTATGAAAGCAGCCCAGCACCCAGGTAAATATGCTTCAGTATGTTTCCCAAACTCTGAAAATGGCAATTTCTGAGTTATCAGTAAGTTCAAAAACTCTTTTAGGTTGAATCTTAGCTCAGTTCTTTAAAATGGGACTTTTAGCAGATGTACAGAAAGCTATTCTTTTGTGGGGTTGTTGTTTTGCTAAATTTCCAGTGAGAGATCTGAAACAATACCAATTCCAATTGCTGAAGCAACACAGCCCTCTAAACAGAAAGCTCCCATTCAAAATAAATCTGTGAGGAACAACAGCTGAAACTTTCTCCTCGAGGAGTCCAGTGTCTCCAGACTCCACTTGGGCCCTAGACTCTCTTCTAGCTCAAATTTAGTTTCTCAGTGGAATTTATGGTGTTGGTCTTGTCCTACAATGCCCTAAATGGTTTGGGCCTTAGCCATTTGACAGATGCTTCGCCCCCAGGAAGCTGCATCATTTGTGATCAGCAGAGATGCTTGAGCTGGTTGGTTTCAGAAGGGGACTACTGACAGGACATTTCTCTGAGAAGCTTTCAGCACTGACTGTGCTTCCCATGTGGCCTGCTAGAACCCACATTTGTAAACCTTCATGGCATACAGTAAGGCCACCTATTTTCTTGGTCTTTTCCAGGAGGAACAGGCTGACAAAGTGGGGCTGGTGGTAGGGATTTATTATCTGTGTGGTGGAGCTTCCTGAGAGATAGTAAGGCTCTAGTTATATAGGTAGTCACTTAGTACATCTAAAGAAATACATAAAAAGAGACCTGTGGCTTCATTAATGCCCACAAGGCCCAGTCTGACACTGAGGGCTGTGAACTCTCATGTCACATGATTCCACAGTTCTGGGCTAACACACTCACTTTCTCCCTTTAGATCCATTCAGCAATAACTTGCCATGCCAGATGATGAAGTCCTCCTTCTGTTGGGGGAATCATGACTCCACAGCTCATTATAATCATTCACCATCTACTCAGTCATGGACAATTCAGTAACTAAAACATCCTGTGATTTCCAGGTCCACAGCATTGAACTCTGTTAATCATTCGGAAATTGAGGCCAGTGTTCGAAGATTTAATGTACATTTGAGAGAAAGCAAGGATGGTCTGGAGATGCACACACCGATAGAACCCTGCACGAATCACTAAAGAGGGCTCAATATGTGTGTCTGGCAGAAGTTATATCCACAGAAACAAGTCAATCAGTATTGTATTGTGCAATATGTACTCTGGGAAGAGAGAGTTCCCTGTTATAAGAGTCATCATGTTCAACTATTAACTGAGGGCAAACTTTTTCTAGGAAAGTTTTGTCCCAGAGATGGGGCCAACATGGCAATGTAAAATGTTCCTCTCTCTGCCTTTCACTCTCCAATGCTGATTCTTGCTACCTGCTGGAGAATTATCTCAAAAAGAAGATATGGACAAAACAGAAATTAAGACTTTTTGGCCTTTGTCTAGATGAGAAATTGTGAAATAAAAAATGTAATACACATAAAGTCCCACCATTTATAATATAGTCAGTGTTAATATATGGTAGAAATAATATCTCGATGATTAGAACATAAGAACATAATTAGAACGTAATTGCATTAGAACTTGCTGCTTATTAAACTGCGTTACAAAAGATATGTTGAAATAAGCTGCAGGAATCTAGTTTAGAAAAATACAGAAACAGCAACATTCTTAATTGTTTATGGCAGACTAAATTGCAAAGGAAAAATCAGAGAATGGCCCAGTGCAACCATTCAAAAGAGCTTTCTCTCCAGAGCACATCAAATGAGTCACTGAATGCCACTGAGATGCCAGTGGCGTGGGATGAGACCACACTGCTAGGGCTGAAGATCTTACTGGCAGTCGTTCTGTCTGTTATAACTCTGGCAACCATTCTTTCAAATTCCTTTATAATTATCACCATTTTTCTCACTAGAAAGCTTCATACACCTGCAAATTATCTCATTGGCTCCTTGGCGGTGACTGATCTCTTAGTTTCTATCTTAGTAATGCCAATCAGTATTGCTTATACTGTCAGCCACTCGTGGACCATTGGTCAAGTTATGTGCGATATCTGGTTATCGTCAGACATCATCTGCTGCACAGCCTCAATCCTGCACCTCTGTGTTATTGCACTGGACAGATACTGGGCCATCACAAATGCTTTGGAATATGCAAAATGTCGGACAGCCGGTAGAGCAACCCTCGTGATAGCTGTTGTCTGGGTGATCGCTGTTTGTATTTCTATGCCACCACTTTTCTGGAGACAGGCAAAAGCTCATGAAGAAATGGCAGACAGTACTGTGAACACTGATCAGATTTCCTACACAATCTATTCAACCTGTGGAGCTTTCTATATCCCGATTGTGCTCCTTGTTATACTGTGTGGGAGAATTTACGTAGCAGCTCGATCCAGGATTCTTAAGCCACCTTCAATATATGGAAAATGATTTACCATAGCCCAACTGATTACTGGCTCCACTGGGTCTTCTCTCTGCTCCATTAACTCTATCCTTCACGAGGGGCATGCTCATTCAGGGGGCTCCCCAGTATTTATCAATCATGTGAAAATCAAACTGGCAGATAGTGTCCTGGAAAGGAAAAGAATTTCTGCTGCAAGAGAAAGGAAAGCCACAAAAACTCTGGGCATTATCCTGGGAGCTTTTATTTTCTGCTGGCTGCCATTCTTTGTTGTGACCCTGGTCCTGCCCATCTGTCAGGATGCCTGCTGGTTTCATCCAATCCTATTGGACTTTTTTACGTGGCTAGGTTACTTAAACTCGCTTATCAATCCAGTCATATACACTGTTTTTAATGAAGAGTTTAAACAGGCCTTCCAGAAACTAATCCAGTTCAAAAAATGTTCTTAGTCCTGCTACTTTCTTGTTTTGTCATTTGTCCCAGTGCATTCCCACAGCCCACCTTGTGGCTTATGTACTCTTAGTCCTGCAGTTTGGACTGACAGTTGTCTCTGATGTTGTGCATGTGACTGAGAATTTCTTGCCAATCATTTTGTATTTATTTTCTGTCTGTGATTATAAATCTTTTAGTAGAACTTGTTTCTGGTCTCTGTAGTGAGCATGTGTACTTACAAAATCAGCAGATGGAGGAAAATTTGTAACAAGTGAGATGGAATGAATAGGAAAGCCAAGTCTCCTGCTATGGTGTGACATGGGTTGCTCAGTTCTGCATTGGCAGTGTGACACAGTGGGAGCAGAAAGATGTGTAGGTAGGAACTCAGTATTTCTTGTGAATATTATTAGCAGAAATTCTGTATTGTGAATGAATCAGAGAGGGCTGCTGCTGAGGGGAAGGTACATTCACTTTAGAGGCCTTATCCCCAAATTAAATTTTCCCCTATACATATCCTACCCATTGGAAATCTATAGAACCAGTAACTGTTTTCTGGATAATTGTTCGTGATGTTGTGACACTGAACCTGACAATCAGGATCAGGAAAAGGGCAAAAGGAGCACGACAGTTATGTGGAGCCTGTGCTCGTTTCTCATCACCTCTGTCTTTGAGGGCTGCACATTGTATAAATATATAAAAAAAGAAAGCATCATTTAAAATTATTTTTATATATTTTATCATTGATGGAATCAAAGGTGCAGAAATCCTACAAAAATAAACAGCATGTGAAAGTATTTTAAATTACATGGTTCTTACTTGTATGTTGTTTTATTTTTTCATGTACATACTGAAGTCAGAAAAAGAGACATGTTGGAGAAGAAAATATAGAGGTGAGGTATGGTGTGGTTGAGCCCCTGGGTTCAATTCCCAGCTCTGCCACAGAATTCCTATGCAACCTTAGACAAGTTACTGGAGTCTGTGCCTTAGTTTCCCATTTATGAAGTGGGGCTAACAATACCTCCCTATCTCACAGGGTGCTGTGAGGATACACTCATAAATATTTTTGGAGGGCACTCCGGATAATAAGAACTTGGATAGCCTTTGGGTTTGATTTCATCTCACACTGGTGGAAATCATAGGCCTGATAGGTTTTCAAGTGTGTTTCACTTCTGCCCTGGGAAGCTAACAGCAAGCTTTGCCACCCCAAAAAGTCCTTTTGCCAATTCAGTACAATGCCTAAATACCAAAACAGGGGAAGATGATTGTGCCAGTCTAACAACCAGCTGCTGTTCTTTGTGCTCACCTGGAAAAGTGATTGTTTACTATTGTGGTGCACTATTTAGTTCAATAGCAAACAAACCAGACCCATTCCTTGATTAAGTTACAGGTTAGTGGGAGAAGGGAAGCAAATGGTTTAATATTGCATTTGATTATGGTTTACAATCATACTGAATTTTAGTAAATCATTTGATACAATGTTTCAGGAAATCTTATATGAAAATTAATTTAGATAGTCACAACAGAATGTGAAAGTTCAGATTCAGAACTCCCTTTCCTGGCTCCACCAAAGTTTTACACTAAACATGCTTTTACACAGTTTCACAAATTTCACACTAGACTTCAGAGTGCTTGTTCACGGCACAACTCACAGTACTAGCCGTGGTGAATATGGCCCACCAAACAGTGGCGTAGCCAGGTTCTAAGAGCAGAGGGAGCAAACATGAAAAAGGCGCCCCCCTTGGCTCCTCCTCTGGCCACGTCCCTGGCTCCTCCTCTGGCCACGCCCTGCCCCCCCCCTGGCTGGCTCCTCGGGCCACACTGCGGCCATGCTGTGCCCCCCCTCGCTCCTCCGGGCGCGCCACCCCCCGTGGCTGTAGAAGGAGGCTGGCAGAGGACAGGGAGTTTGAGGGGAGGGATGTAGAGGGAGGGTGGTAGGGGACAGAGGGTTTGAGGGGAGGGATGTAGAGGGAGGGTGGCAGAGGACAGGGGGGCTTGAGGGGAGGTGGAGGGGAGGGATGTAGAGGGAGGGTGGCAGGGGGTACGAGGGAAGGTGAAGGGGAGGATGTGGAGGGAGGGTGGCAGAGGATGGGGTACGAGGGGAGGTGAAGGGGAGGATGTGGAGGGAGGGGAACAGGGGGTTTGACTGGAAGGGAGGATGTAGGGAGGGTGGCAGAGGACAGGATACGAGGGGAGGTGAAGGGGAGGGAAAGGCAGGGGCACGGGGTATGGAGCTTGGGGAAGGGTTACCGGGGATGGGAGTGGGCTGGGGTCCCCGGGGCTCTCTGTGCAGAGGGGGCTGGAGCTGCCCCAGGGACTGGGAGAGCCTGGGAGTCCGCTGCCTGCCCTTCCGCCAGTGCTGTATTATTGCCTAGGCCGACAAGGCCTAGGCCTAGGGCGGCAAATTTGCAGGGGCGGAACCTCCCCTCCGCGCCCCGCCCCCCTGCTCCAGCTCACCTCCGCCTCCTCTGCAAGCGCGCCGCCCTGTCCTGTTTCTCTCCCCTCTCAGCGCTTGCGCCGCGAAACAGCTGTTTTGCGGGCCAGGGAGGGAGGGGGGAGGAAGGGGAACACCGCGCGCTGGGGGAAGAGGCGGGGCCGGGGGCAGGGATTTGAGGAAGGGATCCAATAGGGGAAGGGAGGGGGCGGAGTTGGGGCGGGGACTTTGGGGAGGGGGTTGGAATGGGGGCGGGAAAAGGTGGAGTTGGGGCGGGGCCAGGGCGGCAATTATTTCGCGGCCTAGGGGTGGCAAAATTATTAATCCGCCACTGTCTTCTGCTGCTTCTTTCCGGGGCCCGGCCCAGCCAGCAACAGAGAGCAAACCCCACCATGGCGAATCTCCCGGCAGCCCCGATCACACGGCAAATCGGTAGCCGAGATCGCGCACGGCTCAGCGGCCAGGAGCCGGGGGAGCTGCGAGATGCCCCCTGGCGCCTGGTGGTGGACGGAGATGGGCAGAGGATCCCGTTTGGGGCCCTGTTCCGGGAGCACAGAGCCATCGTGGTGTTCGTGCGGGTGAGGGGGGAGCCGCTTTTTGTGTCGTCCACAAGTGGCAAGTGGCTCTTGTGCAAGTGGCTCTTGCGTAGCGGGACACCGGGGCATCTCCCAACTCAGTTCCGGTCTCCAAAGCCACATCTTGGGCGGGGGGGGGAGAGCAGGCTGGCTGCAAATTGGGGTCCCACAGTGCCCCTCACGCTGTCACTGCCTCGGAGGGGCTCGCCGCATGCAGCACCAGCCCAGGCTCAGCGCTGGCCCTACCCTTGGGGGGTGGGGGCAGAAGGCAGCGAACTCCACCAGGCGCGGTCCAAGCGAGCTGCAGCCCGGATCGCCCACTCAGCCCGGGGGCGCTGTCCTGCCGGGGCTGCTGGCGGAGCCTGGCTGTGGGCGGGTTGCGCTGACAGGCCGCGGCGGGAGGGGAAGCGCTCTCCCCTCCTTGGGGGAGTTTTATTCTGGTGAGCAGAGGGTGGCGCCGATGCTCCTGCTGGGAGTGACCGGCCGCGGGTCCGCCCGGTGTGGCTGCCATGAGGAGGCGGGGGAGACCCTCCCTGCCCCGGGGGCGCCCCGGGACCCGGTCAGTGCAGGAGGCGGGGCAGGCACTGAGCCGCCCTCGCAGTGGGCTGTGCGTGGAGCTTGCCACAAGCAGCGCAGAGCCGCGGCGTCCGCTCCTCCACCATGCACGGGCTCTGCCACTGCTTCTGCACCGCAGAGCGCTCCAAGGGGCCCGTCCGCCAAACCGTCCGCATCAAAGTTGTCTGCGGGATGGGGGGGGGGAGTTGCGGGCTGCCATGCTGCGCCCCCCCCTCGCTCCTCCGGCTGTGCCACCCTCTCCCCATGGCTCCTCCAGGCCTGCTGCCCTCCCTTGCCTGCAGGAGCCCAGCCCAAGCTTCAGAGCGGCGCGTGGGCCCCGCTTTTGGAAAATGTGCTGAGGGGAAGCGGCTGCTTCCCCTGCACCCCACTAGCTACGCTACTGCCACCAAAGGTGAGGGAAATGGGGAGAGAATTGTTCAGTTTCATGAAACAATTATTATTGTGCCATGGCACTGAACACTGGCACCATTTTCCATTTTCAGTGCTGACTTTAGCAGATAACTAACTCCTGAGGGTAACAAAGGCATAGAGAGCACGGCTGCTGCTGGCATCCTGAAGCCACCCAGACCTGTATGCTGCTAGCCTGTGCACTGCAGTGGTGCCTGCTGGAGTTATTGTAGACTGGTGTGGGAAGGTATCTTACCACACTCGAAGAAATAAGGCACCATCTCTAGAAACCTTCAGAAAAGGATTACTGAGTTACTCCATGAGAGGTTCATTGAGATCTCTCAGAAGGATTCAAGAGACAACCTGTTTACATAATGAAACTGTTCCATATGGTCTCCCTGCCTAAGTCTATGGGGGAATAAAAAGCAGATGACAACTTCACCTCTCTTTGTTGTACTGCAAACTCTTCTAGTATGACTAAATTAATTAAAAGTTGATAGCTGTGTCCTGTTAAGTTGGAGGCATCATCAGTACATTACTGTAATGGGAAATACAATTACACACTTACCCGAAGTTCCTTCCCCTGCGTCAGGCTTCCCAGGCTGAACTGCCAGGACCTGAACCCCCAGCCAACACCCTCACCCCCCTGCACTCCAACCCTCTGCCCCAGCCCTGAGCCCCTCCCACACTCCGAATCCCTTGGCTCCATGCCCACATCACTTCCATATTGGTGCACATAACAAAATTCATTCCGCACATGGATGTAAAAAATTAGAGGGAACACTGGTCACAGGCCCCTGACATGAACAGTGAGGACAAGGAGGAGGATAGGGGACATGCAGCCAGAGGGTCCAGCTATTCTATGAGCCAGGGACTGTTTGAGACTCCACTGCAGTCCAATTCGTCCTGGCTGTTGAGCCTGGGAATCATAGAATCATAGAATCATAGAATATCAGGGTTGGAAGGGACCTCAAGAGGTCATCTAGTCCAACCCCCTGCTCAAAGCAGGACCAATTCCCAACTAAATCATCCCAGCCAGGGCTTTGTC